TTTTCCTCGACACTGCTGTGAATTACGTCATGTAAAACGACCGTTTTGTCATCTCGTCTTTGTCGTAACGTCGACAGTCGTGGCAGAAAGTCACAATTACTATTCCTTTATGGAGTTACAACGAGGGCGCTGATCAAGCTAAGCCATGGAGAGGGAGGAGGTGGAGGTTTTCGGGAAGGGGTGGGGTTTTGGGTAGGAGAGGGGTTTATAGAGGAGGGTATGGATTATTACCTAGAAATGGGGGAGGGGATGGGGGGTGGAGAGGAATGGAGGTTGTGGCAGAGGAGTGGGATTGTACGGGAAAGGTGGGGTTTTAGGGGAGGGATGGAGGTGGTGGGGGAGAGGTGGGACTGCAGGGAGGGTTAAGGGTTGGATGAGGGATGAAGGTTGTTGGGGAGGGGTGGGGTTGTGGGAAGAGGGTCAGGGTTGTGGGGGAGGAGGAGCAGGCCAATCAACAAAAAAATAAACCCCAAATGTGCTTATACATTAATTGAGTTATAAATTAGCGTTTGATTTATTAGAAACGACGTGTGTACCGTTAGCTCAGTAGATACCATGCTGAATCACAGACGGAGCGAATGGCGCTAGTTCGAGTCCCCAACGAGGTGTTTTGAAGGACCTCAACCAATATGGATTAGTCCCATCAGAGATTGATGTTGTAGTCGTTGGTTCTGCCTCTCAGTTGTCCTTACAGTGTTGGAAAGGAGTCTAAATCTGTACCATGAATCATTTATTTTAGAAAACAAAACTGAGTACACTCGTGCAGCAGTGGACAGCGGGTACTCTGGTGCAGTTTGCTCATTCTCTCCCGTCAAACACCTATTACTAGTATCTCTCCGTCTTTTCTTTCTATACTACTTTCTCTAATTTTCGGCACTCAATTGACCTATTTTTGTTGCTAGTGCTATAAAACACTTACAAAAACTAAACCTAAACTTGTAGGTGGTTGGAAGGTGCTGTAGTGTGGTTTGCTCCTTATTTCTCCTTTCAAACATCTATCGTCCTTCTTTTTTTGTGTTTGTTACTCGCTAGTAACACCTCTAATCTTCGGCACTTAGATAGATATAT